AAACCTTTGTCTAACTCCAGAAGAAAAACCGCATCAAACCGCAGATGTATGGCATGTGGACGATCATTTTGGTATAATTTTGAGTGAAACTGGAGCTTAACTGACTTTAGCGATCCGATTATGCTGAAGACAGCCGGAAACATCGTTTGATTTCGAAAAATACCTTATTTTTTTGATATAATTGCTCTGAACTGAGATGTTTTTTACTGATAGATATTTGAAGAGTCTAGGTTCCGAATATATACGTTTTATAAGTCTGCATTCGCTTAGTGTTATAAAAAAAATGTTTTACCCATGGAAGTCACTTCTGTCTAGGTCAATTTTACATATACATTTTTTCCGAAAATTCGCCGCTCGAAACAAACATTTTTGGCCTATTAGATAGCCTATCTATCGAAGTGTATTTGACATCATTTAAATTTTGAAAATGCGTATTGTCGATTTTTTGGCAGATGTCCGCCTGATTGCCCGCTGTGCGCCCCTGAGTCAGAAATGTCGATTTTCGTCGGATAGCCCAAAGTCTCTACTTTCTAACGACATAACTTTTGTGTCGATACAGTAGGTTTTTCGTAGATTTTGAGCGAGTTTTCCAGAAACCATATAGCAAAAAAAAAATGGCTTTTTTTGCACTTTTATTCATAAGCGATTGAGCATCGCCAAAAATTGACCAGTATAAGAGTTTTTATTGTTGGACTCTTCAGCATAATTGTACCGTAACAAGAAACGGTCAGAAGTCTTTGCGGAAACTGTTTTCTGCAGGAAACATTTCGATACATTTCGTGATACTTGATTCGAAGAACTCCATAGAACAGACAACATGATGCTCTTTAAAACGAGATTTCTCAAAGTGCTATAAAACATCTGATTGGAAAGATAAACCGTTTTCACTTCGTCAAAGAGATGCGTAGTTTTTACTGATATATTGCATTTAGTCAGAAAACGATGTCTGAGCACAGAGACCCATCGTCTGCTAGGTACAGAGTTGTAGCTGTAACTATTATAACTGCTATGAGAACTGATTCATCTTGCTTTGCTAACAAAAAAAACTTGCTCATCGTTCAATAAAAACAATAAGTCTTCAAGAGTTTCATTCTTTCGCTTTAAAAATGGTTTGATGATACTTCTTGACAATGAAAAAGCTTGACTTAATGGCACTTTAGGTGTAGCTCCGCCCAAAGCTGAGCGTGGTTATATGGGAAGTTGAACAAAACATTATTTGCACAGAGTCAGATTCGAAGGCATTCTTGTACGCAAAGAATAAAGCGAATAACATTTCAGTTTTTTATTCATAAAAATCCGCGATAGACTTGTAATCTGGATGAACTGCGACCATTGACGATTGATAAAGGCATTTCGCTCGAATGTGCTGCTGACAACTTCTGTAGCGACCTCGAATACTGGAAGTGAATAAGGTATCTCAGCGAGAGCGCTTAGACTTAGTTTAGAACGTTCTCTGAAAGCCCGTGCGAAATTTTCATCGAAACTAAAGTTTTCGTATCCATCCGCTCCCATCGTAGTTTTGACAGTTTCCGTTACTCAAGTCTGATTCGAATTTACATGTTGTCAAAAACATGTTGTAAGTCGATTTTAATATTTAAGCTCGACTCGTTTGAACTAACTAAATTTCTTTTACAACCGCTTATTTCCGTCACAGAAAAGCCAAATCTTGAAGACTTGAGCTGGCCCTTAGTACGCAAGCAGTCCTCGAGACTGCTTTTCTATAAAATCATCTGCATTTCGTTTTGCTCTCAAACGCACATGGTATTACAGAAAGGCAGTCTCGAGGACTGCACGCGTAGTAAGGGCCAGTTCAAACCTCCAATGTTGTAAATCCACATTATGTTTAGAACTCAAGGTGATGGTATCAAACAAAAAACGTTTCAAGGGACTGTCGCCTCTTCAAAGCTGTTTACTATTGTTTTACGGATTAATTTCTTTCGTCTTATTAGCATCATCTTTTAATGTAATATTACAAGTGTATAAGAACGACTACGATAAAAGAAAGTATTATATTCACGAAATAGATTTGACAATGGAATCAAATGTCGCTGATGAAATGAATTTCAATAAAAGGTTTCGTTTGAATGAAATACATGTTGTGGTAAGTTACAGATGATTGTAACGTAACATCGAAACGCTAATGCGAAGAAGAAAAGTTGACGAAGTAGGTTTTTAGCCAAAAAAATTTCGTTGAGGCACATCTTGTAACTCTTAAAAGTTATTTGGAAGCTTTTCAGAAAAAACCTTTTTATCAAAAGCGATGTCACCATGATAGCACAAGGCGGGCCCCCACACCAGTTCGTTCTTGTTATTATTAAGGGTACTTAGCTTTTTCCTTAAATTAGGCATTATATGGTGCCAGACGGTTACATTTGTAAAAGGTTTTTTAAGTAGCAACTGAGAAACGCACTTTGCGCACCAGATTGGAAATATGCAAAAAAGCGCAACAGAACAGTTTTAAAGTTGTGACACATCGACCTAATACTATATCACTATGGTTTCATAGACAACCGTAGCTAACACCTGCAGGGACACTGCCATAAGGAGGAGGGCGGGTCTAACGATTCGCACATGTTTTGCCTTCTTCTCAATTTTCTCGTGCTCTTTTGTTAGCTGAGTAGTTACTGTGTATTTTTTTATACTTTTACTCTTTTTCTTTGCTGTATTTTTATACAGGGATTCTGGTTTCGAGTTCTGATTTCGCTCTAAGAACTTTGCGAAGAATATGTCCATTCTTCCCATTGTGTTTTCATCCTTATTTCTTCTTTCTCTTCTTTAATTGATCGCATTATGTATACATGTAATTTTTCATCGGTCGTCTTCTATGTATCACTTTATCTTTGTCTTTTCTCTAAGTATTTCTCGTTCTCTTGTTGATGGTTTGATTTGAGTTGAACTGAAACGGAAGTTGTGTCAAAACGTGTATTATTCTTTGTTCAATGAAACGGTCATGCAGACCACAAAAGCTTAGCCTCGTTTCCATTAGTAACAAAAAGTACGGTTACAAACTTAAATTTAAGTTCTTACGATTTTACTGTTTCTAGTTTCTTGGGCTCAGTATCCCTTGGTGTAAACACGTAAGAAAATTACCCTTGGAAAGAGCAGAGTCTGCCCTATAGTTCTCTCTACTTGAAAAAATGTTACCAACCTCACATGAGTCTAGGAGGAGTGCGGGGGGTGATGGGAGGTTGAGAGTGAGTAACCTAACAACATTTAGGTCTGCCCTGTTAGTCTTCCGAGAACCCGAGAAGTTTTATTGGAGTGTACTGTCACAGCTAACATAGACATATCGGCAATTTTTCACTGGTAATTCGCCAGAATTTAACACGAGGCCGTTATTTTTCGTTCTCACTTTCGAGCCTAACTAGGTAACTACAAGAATTTCCCTTCTCTTGATTTGTGTGGGATAAACCTTGTATTGAAAGATGAATACATTTCATCGTAGTTGATTCTTTTGATACTGTTTTGCTAATAAAGACTCTCGTTTTAAGTGCTTACGTTATTGCAAAATTCGTAACACTTCCTTACTATACTGTCAACTTCAGCAAATTGCTTCTTTTAAAGTTTGCAGTAATTGCATTTTTTAAAGAAAGATGAAACAATTTGCTCGAGATGAAAGTATGTCTTCCTACTTTCCTGCTTTCCTGGAGTGATATACCGTATACCCTGCTTTCGTGATTTCTTGCTGTCCTGCTGTACTCGTTTTCCTGCTTTCCTGGTTTTCCGGAATTTTAGGGAGACTTTACACTGGATTTTAAAAAAATAATGCTCATCTTTTCTGATTATCGGATTTTATCCCTGAGTTTTAGAGAATTTTTCTATTTTCTATCGTTTTCAGTTTGCAGCAAATGCAAAAATGTTGCACCCAGGGGGGAAAATCTCACTTCAAGTGCGTGCACTTATGACCGAAGTGTCACTTGAAGTGCCGAAGTGACTCTGTAAGAGTGTGAGTCAGTTTTAGAGCGAACGTGCTGTTAATTTATATTTTGTGCTTTTCTGACTGTTTTTCTCTTCTCTGCCGAAAATCGCGATCCGAACTTTGGACCTTGCTGTAAGAAGAGTTAGATTTTGGTTAAAAACCAACAGCCGAATATACCTACTATCGGCACCGAAATTCAATGCACTCGATTGTTTTTCTAATAACTTCAGAATGATAAAAGATAGGGACCTGCAATTTTCAACAATCGAAAGAAGATAGTTTAACCTATGTTTTCATAAGCAAAATCCTTTTCCGAAACTAATCAGAAGGAGGTCTTTCGAAAAGCACTTCGGATCTCGGGAAACTGAGGTAACATTCTATCAGTTTTTTTCCATAGATAGATAGTCCAAAGTGTCTTTTTCAAAATGTGAACTAAGCGAACTCTTGAGTTTTCCCGGTTTGGGCGTGGCATCGGATTGGCTGAGAGTCTCAGGTACTTCTTTAGGTGTGGTAATTCCGAAAATACATTGTATCATGACGGCACTTGACACATGTCAAAGATGAATGTATGAATGATGAATGTTTGACCGTCTGTGGGTGTTTGACGTTCACGTTTGAGACATGTCATATCATTTCAACTGATGGCAGACGCGTGTTCGTAGATTGTCGAACATTCATAACATTCATAACTTGACATCTGGAAACAAAGTTATCACCGCCCTCAATTTATAACATTCCCTAGCTCTCTGCGATGTTTCATCACCGAGAAATCTTGCAACTACGAAACGATGTTCCAGTGAAAGTCGTTTTCGGGATATGGTGGCGTAGAGATGTCACCGGTACCGGCAACCAGGTCGGTCCGGTCAGAAGCTTTTGACTAGTCGGCCAGTCGACCGAAAGAAAATTAATTTGACCGGCTCGTCGAGAAAAAAACGTTTTTTCGTCCGAAAAATCAGTACTTTGTCGAAAACGTAGTTGCTCAGCTAAGTAAAACAAACGTTTTCATATTTCGGATTAAGAAAGTTAGTTTGGTTTTCTCTTTTTTGTCAACAGTCTTCTAGAGCAGGACTGATAATCTCTGCTATGTGAATGTTCCGTTCGTTTTTCTTTCTTTTTTAATATTTGATGTTCTGCTATCGGCAACAATATTGACCCTAACAGTGAGGAATAAACCGATCTTTTGTGGGATGAGTATTGCATAAAACGCTCTTTGAGAACAACTACCACCACCGCCGAGTATTTCATCCAATAGTAGCGTACTTCCTCCACCACCCACATTACCGATCCATTCTAACTGTTCTAACATCGCCATCTTTTGAACGTCATCGTCAATCAATTGATTATAATGTTCTCCTGCTACTGCCATTTTCTGTTCTTGTGGGAAAATTCTGAAAATTGTGCCATTTTCCCTTTTATTGTGCTCTTTTTCTTCTTCATCGCCTTTACTTTAATTTAATTATGATGGATGAATCACGATGATGATGATGATGATGATGAATAAATAGAAGAATTGTTTTCTTTTTGTTTTTCAATACAATAGTATAGTAGTGGTGGTAATACCGGTTGAAGAGACAGCACAGTATTTTCACTGAGTGTGTGGTTGACCTTGGACAGCTTTTTTGGCTCCACTAAAACTCATATAACTTTTGATCAGAACATCACTAAAAACTGAGAGATATCTTATTTGATCAGGTCTGTTTGCTGTATTTCCAGGTGTTATTGAAAGAGATTTGAATCTGTTTTCTATCGCAAAGTAATTTTTTTCAAAAAGTCAGTTTTTCAAAGTTTTTAGAAAAGTTTTCCCAAAACCCCCATATCCCTTCGATGGAGACCAAATAACATTAGATCGGCTTTAAATGAGGAAAAAATGTGTTTTAATCACCAAAATTTTTCCTTGCAAAATGGTTATAAAAAAAAAGACATTTGATCATCAAATTTTTAATTACTTATATGAAAGGTTTAGTGCTGGAAGAAAAAGCAACTTCATCATTGAATAAATTGCTCAATCGAAAAGCTTCTTCACACTTAGTCATAGATATTTTCATGAAGAAAAGTTTTTCTTATATCATTGTAGGGCAAGACACAGAAATAGAGGTTTGTGTGGCACGTATCGGCAGTTCTGCCACGAGGGTTAACCGGTCTGCTGAATACCTGTCAAGTGACGTTACTTTTTGATAGCACAAACATTAGGCAAGAGATAAGATAAAGGCTGTCGACGAATAGTCCGTAAAAATATGATTATGTGTCTGGGAATCAATTTTGATGGGAACAGGTCAGAAGAGTCTTTTTAATCATTTTGAGCTGTTAAAGGTTGTTGGTTTTGCTTGAACGAAGTACCGTAAATCTTATAAAGATACGTTGGAATTAGGGCTGCAGTTTTCTGTCTACTTTATTTGTACGATGAGGAAAAGTATTTTTGCATGAAAACAAAGTAAGACAATCTTCTACAGAGACCACATCAGTAAAGTATGCTTTAGTTAGAGAGTATTTAAGATATAATGGAACTAAGGGTATTTTGAACTTACCGTAATAAAACACATATAAAGGTGCTGCCCTAGTTCAAATTTTTCTTTACGTTTACTTTTCTATGGCTACGGCGTAATCATGGCTATTCTTTCGTTTGGTGTAATCTTCATCGTTTTTTCTCTTTTATAGGGATTTCTTTTGTGTTTTATCGCTCTCGCTTTCTTAGCTTTAATAAATTATTTCTGTTAAATGATTGCTTACGAATCGTTCGCTACCGATCAGCGAGTCCGAACTTGGGATTATGGCAGGCATGAGAATACAACAAAAGAATGTATTGAAAAGACAACCCAAACGCAACCATCCAAATCAATAAATATTGCAGTAGTAAGGAAACATGAACATGAAACAACGTCATAGCGCAATTGACGATCAGTTCTCGAGATTCATTGATGAATCTCTGAAAAAATCTTCATAACTTGAGCAAATTATAATGATTCACTAAGATGATATGAATAAAAACAAAATTCGTCACACAGATGGCGCAATTAAACGCTATCTCTTTATTTCTGAAGCAGGTCCTATGTGCTTACTGCTGAAAAGTGCCAGATTTACTATTTTATTCCAAATTTGGACCTCCCCACTCTGCCTTTTACTCCTCGCCGCGCTTCTGAACATTTAAATTCTTTCAAGTAGACCCAGTGGATTTTGGACCTTTTTTACGGCTGATTACAGGTTAATTGAGGTATTGTTTTTATTAGAAGAATTTTCTTTCTGATGAGTGAAATCTTCTGTAGTTTATCCCTCGGGTTTGCTTTCTATCGTTTAGTACCAGTATTATTTGCAAGGTAATAGTACGAGACAAATGGAATTGAATTTGACATTAGAAAAACATTTAACTAATATGGAAATTAATTGTGTTCATTTATTGTTAGAGAATTATAATGACTGCCCATTAACAATAATTAGAAAATATGCAAGTATTGATGAATTGTTTTTTCTTCATAGTACACCGCACGAGCGGAAGCGGAAACGACAGAATAATCACTGCACAGATGTGCTCAAACAGAAAATAGTCTCACACGTGAACAACATTGATTCTATTGCCACTACGAGTTCTTCCCAGGCATATTGGTTCTGTTCAGTCATAGTACCTAGGTTGTGCTGTTTTTCTACTAAAGAATTCTAGAAAGAAATGGTGATCAGTTCTGCACCGAATTTCAGAAGCATACTTGTATCTATTGTTGGGTAATTGGTCGTCGCCTGAAATTCAACGTTGCTTTGAAATTTATCCAGCATCGTCTTCGAGGTATACACAGCCATTCTCGCCACATATCTCTACTTACACTGACTGGTTTCTTTAAGGCTTAATTGTTGTTCTCTGTAATGGGGATATTTATTTTGACCATACACTTCGTTTATTACGGAACATAACACATATGGAACAAAAAGTAATTGCATTAAGCGTTATTGAAACATCTATTGACGGTAACCAAACAGACAAAAGGTGTTTTGGTGTTCATAAACATTGGGGTAGTTATGATACATATATTATTCATCCACCGATTATTGGTGAGAACTTTGAACGAATATTGAATGCAACCGATATTGATATTGGCGGAGTACTAGGGTAAGTAAGGCCTATGTATATAGCAAAGGTTTTATTTATCGCCTGTCATTGTTTCTCAAAGTGGTGAAAATCGACTTTTGTATGAAATGAATAGATTATTGAATTTAACTGCATATAATCCATGTAGAATAATCAAAGCTTACCATTTACATACGAGTAATGTTCGGACTTATAGTTTCAAAGTAAAAATTAATCACAATGGGAAATCGTTGCAACCACCACCAATCGATTATCTACCATGAATAATAAACTAATGTGTAAACCAGTAGTTCTTCAGTTGTTCAAGACTGTTTTATTTCAAACTTAGATCGTCCACGTGACCTTCCAGCATTACACTGACACTTACCATATAAGTTAGATACTGTAAAACATTGAGAATTATGACGTGCGTTGTATTTTACTTTGGAAAGTTTAAGTTCAAAACTTCCATTCAAAATGTTTTTTCGATTTTGACCACTGATGAGAGAATATTTGCAAATATCCAAGTACTTGACGTAAAAACATGCCACTGCAATCGGAGATACTAATGTCCAACAAAGTAGATGCTATGTTCTTTGAATACGAAAAAGCAAGTTTGCCTGGAAAATGGCTTCTGACTTCTCAGATATTTAGAAAACATTAAGTTATCTAGATCCGTGCATTTCTTGTAGCATCAACTTCTTTCTCATCAAACAGCAGGTTTGAAAACGTATAAAGTCAAGGTAAGACATGAGTGGCTAAATAACATTTGTTTAAACTCCTTATGAGTCTGAAAGCTACTCTTTGCTTTGAATGGGTATAGACCGTTCTCATCTCGTTACGAGTACGAATATAACATGAAGTCATAGAAACATAGGTACTCGACCGCACAGAGTCTTGTGGGAAAGCTCGCGTTTCGAAAAAAATCAGAACTTCGTGAAAACCTATATTAGATGGAATATCCTATTTTTGTCTATTTTCACATAGAATTAGAAAACTTATTACTAATCAAACTCGATGCAGAATTTTGTTAGGAAATTGTGGCGTTATACCAATCGGACTTCTGCCAATCGTATAAGTGTGTCGATTTTATGCTAATGGATATTAAAAAGATTTTTACACCAATGCTGGCATAAACACTGATATTCTATACGAATATTGGTCCATGAAACAGAAGTTATACAATTGGCATAAAAATCCGTTTTCTTACACCAATCTAATCAGTTCAGCTGCGAGTGAACTGTTTTTTTCTAAATGCTGTAAAATATTTGATATATTGTACTGCATTGATTTTTCACTGCATGGAACTTATGTATCAGATAGTTCCGCTGTGAGCAGTCAAACATTTGAAAGTGTACTTAGACCAATACTTTCTTTCTTTTCCACTCTTATACCAATATCCATGGGGAAATTTTAGTAGGTACCGCGGTGTGTACATGTGTGAATATCGTGGAATGAATTATGGTCGCACATGAACATCGTAAAATAGTGTGTGGGCACGCGTGAAAAATATATTCCACGTGTGACAACAGATGAACTGGTTACGAAAACGTTTCGTGTCATATTTTTCGCACGTGATCACAGGTGAAAGTCGTGAAGTGTGTAGTGGCCACACGTGAATTTCTCATGTTAAAATTTCCGTAAAAAATATCACTTGCGGACACGCGTGAAAATTATCTTCACATTTATTCGCACGTCAGTGTTTCACGCAACTCATTTCGTGAATAATATTCACGCTTAACCGCAAGCGACAAAATTCTTACGTTTCACGCACGTCCACATGTGAAACCTTTTACAGGTGTGAAATGTCGTGAAAATTGAACGGCAAGCATAAATATAAATTTCTCCTATATCTTTCGAAAGTTGTACATACATACAGATGAAAACCTTTGTTGTAGACCGAAGGTATTTTCTGTAGGAATATGCCTGGGAATCATCTTGTTCCCCGGGAGG